TAAGTTATCCTTGTTTAAAGTTTTAAAAAAACTTATTAAAAAATATTTGCTTGGTTTCTATTGACTCAACCCCATATATTACTTGGTGTCTGTGCCTGTAAGTGTCCAACTATATACGCCGAGAATTGACATAACAGCAACAATTCATGATCGGATATTTCTATATCTAGCTGCAGCTAAACAAAATATATATATATATATATATATATATATATGATTAAAAATTAATCAGGGGCCGATTGAAGTTACACGTCTTGACATTGGTGAAGAATACCCTATTTTTAGCAATGCACGAATACGACCGACTGAGACAATGAGCAGAATGGTAAATAGTGGGTACTTTAAGACAAATGAATCAAATGCTTGTTTTATCGGTAATATATTTAAACCTACTTCAAATTCAAGAGAGTAGAACTTGATTGTGATTTCAGCGACCAAATTACCCTTGGTGTAAACACTCAGATACTTATAAATTGGCCAAAACCACGAATAGCGGTATTACCCATTTCATTAGTTCTTTCTATCGTCAAGTTTGCTGCAACGGTAAGAAATGTTATGCATAAATCTTTGGTTATTCTGTAAGATACCTAAAGTATATCTGTTTTTCATTTAGATCACTTTGGAAATAATGGTGAATTCAGAATCTTCCTTTATCGTTGTCTCGTCGCTTCCGGATTTCGTACTGGAATTTAGCGTCCAGTCATTAATAGGTTCACGATCAAAACTTGAAGACGTGCCCAAAATCACACATATGATTACGTCCAAATTGCGAAATGCATTTTGTGAAAAATTCGTGTATCCAAACTCTACAAAATTCCAAATTCCAAATTTGTGGGCACTACATAAAAACCAGTGAAATTAATAATTTGTGGGCACTACATAAAAACCAGTGAAATTAATAGTTTGAGACTCAACCAGCTAAAACAGCTGATAATAAAATGAAACTTATTGCTTAAACCATATTTCCATGTAGTTAATAATTAGAGTGTCATTTGTTAGGCAGATAGATATACAAGTATGCTATCTAGATAGAAAATATATGGGGACAGCGGACATGATGTCTGGGAAAATTTTTTTGTCCCGGACATTTCTGTTGATCAGCACGCGATTATCAGCCAATAAAATTCTTTAGATCCTCTGTATATTATATTGAACCTAGCTGCCGCACCAATTTGTCACGGATTGGGCCCGCATTACATAATTTTGGCCGGAATTAACTTTTTAACTTTCTCATTCCCAAAATGGAAATTTTTAGAGAAATAGGCTCGCACAATGATAAAATTAGCCCAGGAATATTTTTTACTTAATGTGCGGCTGTGGTTTGATTAGTAAAATTTTGAGTAACTTCGGCCTAAATTTTTGATCGTCGCTCTTACAGTGCAGGAATCCTTAAATCAGCAACCGAAAACTAATAATTCTTTAAACTTTTATAAAAAAATAAAAAATATAATTAAAAGAAAAAATCTTTCTATAGAAATATACAAACAAACAAGCAAAACAAATCTATAGAGTTGATTTTTTAATATAGCAAAATTTTATAATGTTATTTCCTTTTAAAGTTACTAATAAAACCAAAATTTGGCCACACATATATAAAAAACATAACAAAATTTTAAAAATATAATAAAATTTAAAAAACATAACAAAATTTTAAGATATCAGCCAATCAAAATTTAGTATTTGTTCTCAAATTTGGCCACCTTTAAAAAAAGCTGTTGGTTTAAGGATTCCTGCACTGTAGTCAATCAAAATCAAGGATCATCCATGACAAAATTGGTGCGGCAGCTAGGTCCAATATAAAAAATTATTATTTTTTACACAAAGGATTTGTGTAATTCTCATAGAAAGACATTCATATGATTGGTCAATTTTTGCAGATCTACCCGTGATTTCCCATGATAATTAACCAATCAAATTGTGATAATTAGTTGATCAAATAATGATAATGATAACGATAATAGAGATGAAATTTTATACCAGCGAAGCTTATATACTATTTTTTATAAATCATATATTCAAGGAAAATCTATTTTTGATTATTACTGCC